GTAGAATGTAATTCATGAATGCCCTTGTGCACAAAATTCTATGGTTTGTTAGAACTGTTCAAGGTACATTTTCCGTAACACATGCATTGATTAAATTATGATGGAAATGGATTTCAAAATATACTGGATAAGGGCTTATGAAAACCAATCAGGCCTGGGAAATTTCTTGGCCTGGGCCTATGTTTTTTATTCATGCCTGATTGTGCCTGCACTAGGCCCAAACATAATATGGACCAAGCTTGGGCTTCAGATTTCAAAGCCCGGTAAGCTTGGTCTATACCCACATATATTATATATTATATTTTGTATGATATAGTCAAATAGGTGATTTTATGTACATGCCTGATGAATGGAGAAAGAGTACTATGGTGCCTATATTTAAAGACAAAAACAATATAAGTTGTAATGATTATAATGGGATTAAGCTCATGAATCATGAACCACACCATGAAACTTTGAAAGAGAATAATTGAGCAAAGTTTATTGCATGAAAGAAGTATATTAGGAACAATTTGGATTTAAACCAGGGAGATCAACCATGTAAGCTATCTTTCTTTTGAGACAATTGATAAGAAGGGTTCAGAGAGAAGAAGAGAGATCTTTATATGGTGTTCATTGATCTAGAGAAAATATACGAGTCCCTAGAGAGATAATATGGTGGATTTTGAAAAAGAAAGGAGATCCAAATTGGAATTTGGACCTAATTAAGGATAGGCTTAGCATAATCCTTATTTATTTGCACTAGTTATAGATGAATTGACTAAACATATTCAAGAGGAGGTTCTATGGGGAACAGGATTAGCTGCCCACGGAGCGTGCCCCACAAGTGCCCCACAGCCCATCCCATCCATGCATTGGGAGTATCTCCCCATGACAAGGAGAGGATGGGCTGTGGGGCGTGCTCTGTGGGCAGCTGATCTGATCACGTTCTATGGTGCTTGTTGTTGATGACATTGTATAAATTGATGAAACTTGAAAAGGATTGAATGCAAAAAAGTTTATGGAGAAAGACCTTAGAAACAAGAGGTTTTAAAATAAGTAGGATGAAAACAAAATATATGCTATGTAAGTTTAATAATAGGGAAAATTAGAGATAAGTTACCTTGTACTTTGAGGGTACTGACACTAAGGGGATGCTTACAGCTGGACTTGAGTGTATATTTTTGAAAGTCCAAGGTACTCAATCTCCTCTCCCAAAGTAAAGGGTACCTATTTGTAATTTTCCCTTAATAATAATAGTAGTACAAATCAAGGTACACTTGGGATTAGAGACCAAGAGATAAATCAATGTGACCTTCTGTTACCTTGGTTTGATAATTCATTACAAGGGGGGGATTGTGTAGGGTGTTGTTTATAGAATTGGAATATGATGCGCAAAATGGATGGGTGCATCTGGAGTCTTATGTGATAGGTGAATACCACTTAGGTTAAAAGGAAAATTTTATAAAACAGTTGTAAGGCTAGAAATGTAGCAAAGATTTAGGCAATCAAGAAACATTTCCAAAAACATTAGTGGCAGAAATGCATACACTGAGATGGATGAGTGGAAAAACTAGAAAGGATAGGGTAAAAAATGAAGTCATTCAACAGAACCTAGGAGTAGTTCCAGTATGTGATAAAATTGAGAGAAAGTAGACTAAGATTGTTTTGTCACATGCATAGGAGGCCACCTAGAGCACCTGTAAGAAATGAATTGTTGCAAGTCGAAAGGGCAACCTTTTCTGGTACCCTGGTTTGATAATTCATAACACGGGATAGATTGGATAGATTCAGGAGTATTTCGCCCATAGAATTAAAGCAAGATGGGCAAAATGGAGGGGTGCATCTAGAGTATGTGATAGACTGATGGGTGAATACCACTTATGCTGAGATAGAGCAAAATGTTGGGTAATCAAGAAAAAATGTCCAAAAAGTGCAGAAATGTGTACACTGAGATGGATGATTGGAAAAACTAGAAATGATAGGGTCATAAATGAAGTCATTTTAATGAACCTAGAAGTGGCTCCAATAGGTAATACAATGAAAGAAAGCAGTCAAAGATGGATTGTCATGTGCATAGAAGACCATCAATAACACCCATAAGAAGAAGTGATCTATTGCAAATTGAAGGGACTAGAAGGGCTAGGGGTAGACCAAAAAGGGCATTGGTTGAAGTAGTAAGAAATGATTTAAGTGCTCATGATTTAACGATGGATATGACACTGAATAGAATGGAATGGAGAAACATGATCATGTAGTTGACCCCATATAGGATAGGTAGGATAAGGCTTAAATGATGATGTTTATGCATATTATACACCGTGACAAAGTCGGGTTGGGTTGGGTCGGGTTGATGCTCAGGTTAGGGTTAGGGTTGAAATTTATGAACCCGACTCTAGTATATATGTTATATATATGGTCATACATTGATTTGTTTAGATGCATGATAGTTGTATAGCCACTACCACATATTATCATTTATTTCATTTAAGATAATCACTTCACTTAATCCTAATTGGAAATACTAAAACCTTGATAACATATTTTATGTTTTCTGAATATTTTATTCTTTATCTCCTCTCTGTTGTTTGCCACCCGTAGCTTGCTGCCCATAAAAGATCTGTTATAAGTCATCATGATAAACTATAGTCAACAAACAAATACTAATAAAACATAGGATTAATATATGTAATGAAAGTTGAGTTAAGATCTAAGATTAGGAAGTTCTACAAGATTTTAAGGGATGGGAAGAAGGTTGGGTTGGGCCCAACCCGAAGTTGACTTTGGGTTGGGTTGGGTTAAGGTTGAAGGAATTTAGTTAGTGTTAGGGTTGGGTAGGTCGGGTTGGATTAGGGTTAGGGTTGGACTCAACACGACCTAACCCAGCCCGACTTGCAGCCCTATAGAACCTTATTTTTATGATAACAATTAACAAATATAAAGTTTTAAATATGTATCAAGGCTTGAACCAGAAACATCTTGTTTTGTAGTTTAATGTCCTATCAACAAATCATGGACCTCATTAATGTTGAAGTTTGAGCACAAAACAGAAGTAAAAACAAAAGGCAAGAAGGGTGTATTCAACAGGCCCACCTCACCCAGCCCAAGTCAAAGAATGAGTTGGCTTGGTGCTCACCTATCTACGTCTGGGAAAGGCCTCATCTGTTTTTTTTTTTTTTTTTTTTTTTTTTGAAAACAAATTATGGGATGGGGATGGGTTTTGGGATTTTACAACCCGTATGGGTACACTATTAGGCTAAACCTGACCCTCCCCAATCCGTATATTGAATTTACTAAATACCCCTAGTGCTTATAATTAAATTGTTGTAATAAGGCATATGAACTAATGTATTGTGTTAAATTTAGTTTTGTTTTGAATCTTGTGTGAAGGATAATTGATAGCTCATGTGTTTTCTACATGTTTCATTGGAAAATTTGATGTTTGTTCATGTTATTTTTCTTGTTTATTGCTTATATATAACATTAAATTAGATGTGGGTTCTAGACCCAATCTCTGCCCCACCTTCAAATATGGGGAGGGTTTTGCATTTTCATGTGCGGGGAAGAGGTTTGGATTCTGAAAATCCAACCTGCTGTGGGTTTTGGGGAGGGTACGGGTTGGGAGGTTTGGGGAGGTGGGAAGGTCTAGAATTTTACAAAACCCTCCCTGAATCCACCCTGTTGCCATCCCTAGGCCATATGGTCCTTATTCCTCCCAGGACCCCTGATAAGTGGAAACAACTTTTTTTTTTTGGAAAAATGATAAGTGGAGACAAGATTAGGTAATGGCCTTTTTTAATAAAAGAAATATCAACTAAAAATGTAGAGGAAGCAGCTAATTTGGGTGTTGTTTGGAAGCCATGTGAAATGCTATTCTTTCTTAGCAGACTTCATTTGGAACATCCTGATCAATCCACAATTGGCATTTTCTACTCTGCTTGATAAATGATGGTGGCAGAGGAAATTTTCTAATTTTATAGGAGGAAATGTGCTGAAACATTGTATTTTATGCTAGAGTATGAGATTGATTTATTCCCACATCAGGAATTTTGAAGGGCTGCTTTCAAACAATTCCTTTATTTGTAGTTAGATTGATCATTCTGAGAAATTTCTTTTCTAAGTCTCCAATGTGGTCAAGCAGGAGCTTTATTCCCTGATATTTAGTTCTTTGCGGAATTACAGAATTGTAATTTCGTCATTGCCTCTAGCTGAAGGCACCTTTTAGATGCTCAAAGAGTGTTACCATGCTTGAATATAATGTTGGTTTTGTGTAAGTTTGAAAAAGGAAGAATCAAAATCTTAATACTCAATTCATCCTCATTGTCTTGAGGAATTCAAAAGCTTTATAATCGTAGCTTCTTTTCTTGTTAGATTGTCATTCTTCATAGTAGTGATTAGCCTGCATTTATGTAGTTTCTGAATTATTTGTTCGTTTTTTTGGGTGGGATGAGTGGGAGGTTGGTCGGTTTATTTGCATGACAATGATCTTGTTGAGATTTCTTGTATACACCTTTCCAGATTCCTCACAGATACCTTTTTATCATCACATTCAGTCTCCATCACTGATATGTAATTAAGTTCCAGATGTAAATTCCTGTCTTGTTCATAACCCAGTTAATGCTAAAACCTTTTTATTTTTGCTACTGCTCCTCCCTTTGGTTCAGCTTCACTTGTATCATGGCATTTTCCTCATTTCTTTTCCTAAAAGAATGGCAAAGGTTCCTCCACAAAACATAGCACTACTTGCACAATGAAACTATAGCCTGTTTTTTGACCAATATACTGCTATAAATTCTGAAAAATCAAGAGGTTATGGAGTTTCTTGTGCTGAAGTTGTTTACTACTAATAATATATATTTATTTGGCTACAAAGCTTCTATAAACTTCTTATTTTTGAAAAGAATTGCTTTGTAGTAGCATCTATTGCAACTTACATATTTTTCTGTACTCCAGTCATAGCAAGTTGCATTTAGTTAGTTGCTAATACATTTTTTTCCTTGGAATTTTTTGAAACTTTGTAGAATAAGAAAATTTCCTGGACAAACAGAACCAACGATGAGTGCTGAGGTTGAATTGATTTCCACAATGACAGAAAAAAGGTCTTGGACCAGGCCTCCAATTCAAATGGAATTCCAGGTGCCATATTATTTCTTTTCCCTATTAGGTTCTATTTTGGCAAGTCTATAATCATCTTATAGTTTGTTATAGAAGGTACACCATCAAATTATAAAGGACGACTAACTGAACTGTTAATTTAAAATACCATGACCATATTAGTGAAAGGACAACAGCCAAATCTGCATGTGGTTTTTATTTATTTATTATCTTTACTTCCATTTTTCCCTTCCAAAATTCTCCACAGCCTAGTTAGTACAGTGATGTTTTTTGATGAATAATGAATTTTATTTAGATAAAGTTTAAAGTATAAAGTACACTGACAAGTGGTTACAAAAACAGAGTTCTCCCAGAAGGTGCGAGTTGCTGCATTACATACAAAGTAAAATTACAATTTAGCCCAGGATAAGTGATCCCTGTTCATCTCTTGCTTAGCTAGTAGGTCAGCCAGCCCATTTGCCAACCTCCTCTCCCACCGAACTTTTACAGTGAGATTATAGGTGAGCCACCTGAATCTCCTCATTTTTCCCCTAAAAGACCAAGCTACTGTCTCCGATTCTTTCAGCCACCCAGTTACCATTTTAGAGTCACCTTCAATGATCAACTTCCTAAAGTTCAACTCTTTAGCAATTTGTCCTCCCTGTAGAGCTGCTTGCACCTCTGCATTCCTGAATGCTCCCCCAATACCCGAAGGTCCAGGGTTGCCAAGGCTGCTGCCGTCAAAGTTGAGCTTTATAAAGTCTTCTTCTGGGAGCTTCCTGTCTACTACAGGTTTGTCCTTAACTGAAGAAGAGTTTGCAACAGATTCCCAGTTTTTCCATATATCCTCAAAGGAGAAAGTTAAGAATAAGTTCATAGATTTGGCCCAGTTAATAGCCCTTATTAGGAGACATTCCCAAACAGTAGCTATGTCCCTTTTGTTCTTTATCATTAAAAATCCTGGAATTTATTTCCTCCCAAACTGTCCAAACTAAAGCAGCCCTAGCACATTTCCATAATATTCTATCTCTTCTCTTAGACCACCTGAAAGTTGTAGGGTCAAAAAGCCCCCTGATTTGTAGAGGCATCATCCACCTACACCCAAAAAGATCAAAATTTTTTTTCCCAAAGATTCACAACAAAAGGGCAAGATATTAGAAGATGGTAACAGCTCTCTCCATTTTCTTTGCAAAGGATACACAATTTTGGGGATATGCAAAGGTTGGGCATGTTCTTTTGCAAGATCCTAAATGTTTAATTTCCCAACAGAGGCTTCCTAACAACGGGCTCCTACCTTAGGAGGAACGGGCTTAGACTAGACTTCCTTCCAAAAGAAAGGCTGAGGGTTAGGGACTGAGCACAACTGAGAAAAAAGAGGCACAAAAAAAAAAGGAGAATTGGGAGTCCAGATTTTAGCATCAGGTTTAGAAAAGTCCAAACAAATGGAATCTAGAGTTTTGAGCAACAAGGCAACTTGATCAAGTTAGTACAGCGATGTTCTTTTATTATATTGGTGCTGTTTTATTCAAACATTAGGGTGGCAGGATCTCAATTAAAACAAATTGGTGGTTTCAGCAACTCTGCATCAGGAAATTCAACTTACCCAGACAATAAAAGTGGGGTTATCTGCTTTGCTTTTCTTGTGAATAAAGATGGAGTTATGTTAGGATAATAAAAATGGGAAACTTGAAGATAAAATTGTATTTCTTTTTTCAGTAATATGTTGTCATGAACATGAAAATAGTTGATTCCATTGATCCTTGTTGCAGGTTCCAATGTTTACAGCATCAGGTTTGCGGGTTAGATTTCTCAAGGTATATATATTAAACTCTGTCATGTTTGGTTATTTGCCAACATATTGATACAGTTTAACGCCATTAACCTTCTGTAGGTATGGGAGAAGAGTGGATATAATACTGTTGAGTGGGTTCGTTATATAACAAAAGCTGGCTCTTACGAAATTAGATGCTAGAGATGTAAGGCTCTTCCTTCTACACAACATTCATCTGGATTCTGGAGAGATTTTTCTTTTTTTGGAGGGGGATGGAACAATTTGCTACCGTGTGAAATAGTAAGATGAATTTGGCATAGTTTTGCATTGTTGGTTCGAGAAAGAACTTTTGTTACCCCGTTGAAGATGTAGCGTAGTGCTCTGTTTTCCTGTATTATTACGGCATTGGTCTTTTTTCGGGAGTGGAATTGTGTCCTTGTGTGTCAATATGATAATTTGGAGTGGAAGTTTAATTAATCTTTGTGATGTAAAGCCTTGTAGAATAGGACGAAGAAAATGTTTTTCTGCTAGCTCAGCGTGGAATTGTTTTGACAATTTGGCATATTTTGCTGTCAAATTCATTTGAGAAAGGAGTCATGCGTTTCTTGCAGTTGAATCCTTTTGTCTTTTGAAATTGTTTTCTAAATTTATGACTGTTTCCAGTAATTATATATTTCTGTCTCAATAAATGAAAGCAGCGGTTATACAGGAAGTCGGTTGAAGTGACTTTGGATTTCGTACAAAACCAATCACTGAAAGACTCCATACTTTAGTGCTAGATCTGTAAAGTGGGCGCTGTGCTGCTGCAGCCCAACCCTTGCCCCTGGGATCCTGTGATGACAATGCCTTTATTGTAAGGTCTCTTTTCCTTCTTTGTAGAGTGAAATTAAAGATTGCCCCAAAAAATGGTAAATTTCTGAATCTCCCTGCAGTTATTTGTGATAGACAACTCCCTTAGTTTTCTGACACCATGGCATCTACATTCCTTCTATTAGAAAGATAACAGAAAACACTGATGTTATGTTCTTAACATTTGTAAATGTCAAATTTTCTCACATAGTATGGAGTATGGACTATCTCCCCATTCCCTTCTCTCTCTCTCTCCTTTCTTTCTTTCTTTCTTTCTCCCCCTTCCCCCCATCTCCATGCTGCAACCAACCTAACGTGGCAGGTTGATCATGGTATGGTTCTTCTCATTGTCTGGCGGTCTCTTGCTTCGTCCAAAGGAGCCATCAAATTGTGACCGATGTATGGTGTTGCCACTTAATTATTCCACCAATTAGTTCTGTTGTCACCATATCCACCATAGCCATTGGTTCCATAGTGATCATTAGGATGGTGTTTGGTATTGGAGCCATTTTCTCAAAAGAAATTGCCATGTAGGCATATCAAGCGGTTTCTTATTTGGTTGGATGGTTTTAGATAAAAAGTAGTTGCAATTCACCTCAATTTTTATGAAAGTCACTTGGGAATTTGTGCCAAATTCAGTTTTTCTCCCAATTTTCTACGCAAACTTGTTGCCTTTCAACAACGGCTTTGATACCAAACACCGCCCAGGTTTTGGTGTTTGATGCTAGTACTTGCTGTTCATTAGGTATGTTGTTTGGCATCAATGCTGTGAATCTGTATATGTGTGAGTTATAAGCACTGTTTTCTGAGAAAAATGTGTATTTTTTTTTTATTTGGAAACATTGCTGTCAGGTAGGACGTTTTCTAGGGCAACAGCACCACCTTCTGTTTGGTACCAGTGCTCCATATTCGTTTGGTACACATTATCCAGTGCTTCTACTATGTATGTATTATCTTACATCTAGCGGTGGAAAAAAAGCCCATTTCATCCTACGGTCCCAATTGTTGAATAGACTATAAAAAATAAATTCAGAAAATTATGAGAAAAATGACAAAAAATCAGAAAGTTACATGGAAAAATATAGAAAAGTTCTAGACAAATGGAAAATTATAGAACAAAGTATGAAAATCAGAAAACTGAAAGAAATTGCATGGAAAAACCAGAATATACCACAAAAAAAGAAATTCACAAAAAAACAGATAAAAAGACAGAATAGAATGCAAAAAAAAATGATATAAAAAATTGGAGTAAATTGCTAAAAATGTAATAATTTAAAAATAGTATACTTTTGAAAAAAATGAATAAGAATTAATAGAAGTAGCATGGATTAATAAAATTACAATAAACTAATATAGAAAAAGTCATAAATTATTATAGAAAAATTCTAGACAAATGGAAAAAATATATAACAAAGTAGGAAAATCAAAAACTTGAATGAAATTGCATGGAAAAACCACAATATATTGCAAAAAAAGAAAATCACAAAAAAATAGATAAAAAACCATACAATACAATGCAAAAAAAAATGAAATGAAAAAATGGAGTAAATCGTTGAAAATGTAATAATTTAAAAGTAGCAGAATTTTGCAAAAACAAAAATGAACAAGAATTAATAGAGGTTGCATGGATTTGAAGGAAAAAATGAAGACAATCATTTGTTATTTGCATAAAATGTATAAAATTAAAAATAGCATAAAATCAAGGGAAAAAGTTGTAGAAAAGTATGAAGTGTAGAAAATGGATGAGATTGGATGAGAGTTGCTGGAAATATAAAAAAAATCAGAAAAAAAAAATAAACTGAAGAAAATACAAAAAAGTTTAGAACTAAGGAAAATTTACAATAGGAAAATGAATAAATTAATATGGTGTTGCAGAAAATTGAAGAAAATTGCAACAAAAGTATCTTGTCACATATTCATACAAGTTATATATACATAAAAACATAGCACTAGGCCTTGGTTCATTCAAGTATTTAACAAAGTGAATTGACATATGGCTAGAGAGACATCACTTGAAGATCTTCAACATCAACATAATTATCACAAGCCACATCAATAACGTCATACATATGATGTTATAACCACAAGCAACAACTGCAATGTATTTATTGTTGGGATGGGTTTGTGATGTGGGTGAATTGTGGCGATTAGTACTACTCCTAAGTGATTTTGGATGGGCCCCAAGGTATTCGTCCACGCAAATGAATGACCCTCTATGGTTTTCTCAGATTGGACAACAAAGAAATCATCGCCTATAATTTGTTTAAGTTCTTATCATATGTAGTGTCATAAGCCACTTCCACACGAGAATTATAAGCAAATCTCTTCAGTCATTTGTATCTACAACATGCAATGTTAATAAGCATAAAAACATCAAAACCATATTATAACCAAAGCAACAAGAAAGTTTGTATGAGATAGATATAACATTAGCTACACCACGTACAAATCCAATAATATCCAGTTGAATAAATATAAAACAAAAAGTACATTCGATTGCAAATTATCATAAATGTTAATAATGACACAAACAACTAATAATGACTAAATAACTACAAATAAAACACTAGCTAAGTCATTGATGATTCCTTTTATATTGTTTCTATACTGCATTTGCAATATTGTCCCTAATAACACTCATCTCGGTATTGGAGGTAGAAGAATTGGCAACATGTTGTCCAGTTCCATAACCATCACTATCATTAGTTGATGTCATGCCCTCGTTGGCCCAAAGATTAATGTCTGCATCTTCACGTGCTTCTCTCTTTATGAAGTTGTATGTTATGAAACTTGCCGCTATAATGTATGGTAGAATGTCCAAGTCATAGCATGGCATGTTTTTCAATATTGAAAAATTTCCCTTCAATATCTCAAAGCACCGCCGATGACATTGTGCAAAGAAGAGTGAATGTAGTTAAAAAGATCCTCCTTGGATCTAAACCTACCATTGTGTCTATGAAACTCACTAACATGATACCACCAGCATATGGTATAAGGAATCCCGATGCATTGGGAAAGTCAGCATCAACAAGATAATATTTACCTACATTTCAATATGTGGTTAGTTTGGGGAAAATGGATAAAATGTGTAATGTATGTAAAATTTTATTTTGAATTGCCTGGAGGAGGTATTGGATTCGATCTGGTCATGGCTTCTGAAAGAAATGTTTTAAAAACTAACCCAAAGGCTGAATCATTTTTGCCTTTGGGTCGTGGGTCACCGGTTCGACCGGTCGGGTCGAACGGTTCAAATCGTCCCAACGGCCCCTTGGGACGCATAGATCTCGAAAAGTTACCAAAAATAAAAAACCACTCCAATCAGACATCGGAGCGCAAAGTTATAGCCTCTAAAAGTTTTGTATGCATTGAGTGTGCAACCTGCAACCTGGTCACCGGGTCGAATGGGTCAATAGTCAAACCGGCCGGGTTAACGGTTCTCTACCAAGTCAACGGTTTTGACCGTTTCACGGGTCTTGATTGACTATACCCAGAATCTTGGCTGGTTAATAATTTGAATGGTTTGACCAGCCAGGTCAACGACAGGTTGAAAACATTGTCTGAAAGTATCCTAGAGCCATGTATAGATCCTTCCCAGCTCGTGTATACAAAGGTGAAAAGCATATCAAAGTTGCATATTGCTAAGACATTCGATGTGCAGACCTTCTCCCTACCCCTATAAGGTATTTTCTCACCTTACGACACATTAGCAGAAACATGTATGACATCCATAACACCAATGCAATCTTAATGGTACAAAACAACTCAGTAGGGAATCGTAAATAATAACAAAACAATAGTGTGATTAGTATTGCAATTACCTTGAACATTGGGTCAAATCTATCTGACTCCCTAATATATGTTGAAACCTGATCGAAGGAAGGCGAAGTCACTATTTCTCTCCCTACTCAACATATTGCCATAACAACCTTCTTGAAGTGTGTATTAATTGTCCAAGAAGAATGTTGGAAATGCTCCGCCATCAAGTAGTTTCTATCATTCTAGCTTATTGTTATAAGAAAAAGGGTAAATTTCCTAAACTACCCTTATGGTTTTGCTAATTGACTAAGTGTACCCTTACTGTTTGAAAATTGACTAACGCTATCCCTATTGTCTCTGACAATTGACTAATTTTACCCTTATTGTTAAGGTTCGTTAATATTCTGTTAAGGTCCATTAATATATATTTTTTTAAACCCAATTTTACCCTTCACCTTTCTCCCCCTCTTTCTCTCTTTCTCCCCTTCTTTTTCACCAATACGAGGATTCTCAGAGGAGACAATGGCATACAGGTGGCAAGAGATGGGTCCACTATAGTGGTAGACCAGAGTCCAAACTACCACAATTGCATCTCTTTTGAATTTGCAGTTATTGGAGTTCCAATAGACAAATAATTTGGAAGTGGACTCTGGGGTTTTCGACTGGGCACCGGAGGTTTCAACAATGAAGGTTGGCAGTGGCGGTTCCAGTTTCTTTTATTCTCTCCCTTCTCTTTTCCCTCTTTTATTCCCATTGTCGTTGTCATTGTCGCTTCCGGTACCAGCACCGGTTTTCCCTCTTTTATTCCCATTGTCGTTGCCGCTATTGCTTCTGGTACTAGCACTGGTCTTGGTGGAAATGGAATAGATTGGCTGGCCTTACTGTCCTTCAAGGGTTAAATAACATAGGATCTTCTAGGGGTTGCTTGCTTGGGTGCTCTGGATTAGTCGATTGCTTCACCTTCTTTAGATCGCAGCTTTAGTTCTCTGGTTTTAGTTTTGATGAAACGACCG